CCAAGGTCATACAACTTCTTAAAACAACGAAAGGAGACTGCGACCACACAAAAGGCCACACCATCTTGGTATTCATACCTTCGAGCAAATAGGAAAATCGACTTGGTGACAACAAACGGCAATAGATTCGCCTGAAGGGCAAGAGGCAATTTGTCCATGTCAAGACATCATTTCAACAGTACCGGCTTGACCTTTGTTTGATAGTATTCTCCGTATGTGTGTGATTGTATGTGTTTGTGTGTGTGAGAGAGAGAGAGAGAGTTCGTGTGAATGGGTGAATGAGTAGTAGACCAAGTGCAAAGGTTGCAAGACAAGCCTGGCAGATCGTCAAGACGAGAATGACGATTGGGTAACCGGGCGACATGCGTTCGGCTGCGTCGGTCAACTGGCTCGTGTGTGCAATCAAGTGTACGGCTTGTGTGTGCATGCGAAGGGTGCAGGCAAAGGTCCCGCTTGTTCGACTCCCGGAAGTGGGCGTCTCTTGACCTGTCCGGTCTCCACTCTCCGCTTCCCGTCGGCCTGGCAACTTGTCACCATTCGCCTCGATGTTTGCTGCCTGCAAGCGGTCCGCCAAACTGGGCATAGTCAAAGAAGGCACCATTCATTCGTGCTGCACTTGTCTTGATTGTTGCCATGGCAATGCATCAAGTGAACTGTCTGATGCTGGTCATCGTCATGACCAGTCGAGGGCAGACGACACGGGAGTGGGCACCGTCGACAACGTGTCCGTGTCGGCCCGAGCCAATTGGGAACAAGAGGACAAACCAAACGTACCAGTCCTTCATGATTTTAAACGAAATTTGGTGAATACATCTCATACTACTCATATTTACTGTTAGTAGATTGTTATAGCAAATATACGTTTTTTCATCGACAATCCCACCAAAGAATGCGATATGACAAAAGGCCTGGCCTTCTTTGAAATTCACATCTGCCCTTTGACCCACGGGCACTCGTGGCAATGTGTGGCCGAGTGGTTAACGGTTCGACTCCCGCTGGGGGTGTTGATAAGACCGATGCGAGGTTGAAACTGCAGTCGACTGATGTGTGGAGCAGAACAATTTTTGCGAAAGTAAGACAGTGTGAAATTCAATGGAAACGAAATTGTGTGAAAACATCTCAAAGCAACACTTGCTTTGATTTCGTTTGAAATGGCGCGATGGACCAGAGTCGCAGATGTCGACATGATAACAAATTAAGGAAGGTAGGCATTAAAATTAACCCAAGAACTCTTCTAAACAGTAAGTTTGTAGTCAAACTCAGGGTAGCAATAATTTATCCATCATACACAAAGATGATAATGTCGAGCTCCTCTTGTAAAGGGCTCTAAACTTCACCTTTCCAAGATGGAAATGCTTGTTGAAATAATTAACTTAACAGACAGATGAAGCTAAGAATAATAAAGAAAAAGTCAATCCCTCATTTTAACCAGGTTATTATTTCAACGAAATTTTACCACTTAGATAAGATTTCTAGATATTTCCACCAAAATGATGTGTTTTTTTTGAAGGCAGATAAGGGTGGTGCAGTGACCATCACAGACGGGTTAGGTTATAGAGAAAAAATGATTGTTCATTTAAACGACTCAGAAACTTACAGACTTTTAGTGAAGGATCTCACAGAGAGTCTTAGCGAATCGCTTAACATTTGTGTAAACAGAGGAGAAATTGAGAAGTTGAAAAAGAATCCACTTTTTTAGAGAAATGTTAGAGCACCTTCGGCCTACGGCCTTCCGAAAATACACAAGAAAGGAGTTCCTATAAGATTGATC